TCTACTTATATAAAAAGATATTGGATTTGTTTGTTTTTAATTTAAAATGCTGTATATGGCCTTGGGTAATTAAAACATTTATTGAAATATGGGGGTTTAAACTGTATCATGCTGGAATTGCCTCTGCTGATCATGAAGAATTGAATAATACTCATTTGTCATGTAGTGTGTTAACTCAAACACAGATGAGTTCAATTCAGATGACAGAGGTTGTTGCAAAACCCAGCTGTTGACTCTGCTCCACTTTCCAGAAGTTGCTTGCTCTGTGGCGGGGATAGCTGACCCATGAAGCAATTCTTTAACAGGCACAGTTTGTAGCCTGATTTATTCAAGTAAACCAATAGTGACTTTAAGTTGTTTTAATGCACTGGGTTGGCAATGCTAACAGCTCAGGAGCTGCTTCCTGTGTAAATCATCAGTGCTAGTGTGGTAGTGGCAGTCTTTGGAGAAGAGTGAATGCCTGGTAGGATGTTTAAGCTGCCTGTATTGGTAAGTAAATATTCTCTGCTTCTGATTCACAGCTAGCTTGAGAAAGAATCTTTGAGGCAGTCTGCTAGCAGTTGCAGAGTAGTTGCAGACAACTGCTGGCAAGATACCTTTTCTATGGCTCCAAACAATTCCTCTCAAGCTAAGGCAATTTTCTCCAAGAGCTTTGGTCATTAATCACATTTGGAGAAAAAACAACAAGAAACGTTAAAACAGATACTCTCCTTTGGGGTTTCTATTTCACTGGGACTGGAAGAAGACCAGTTCTTAATCATTTACCATTTTTTAAAAAGGTATGTGGTGAACACAGGAATAGGAGCCAATAAATGTATTGGCCAGGGCTGGTTTTGTTGAACATATCACTTGAGTGTTAAATGGGGAGCTATTCTAACAAGGCTATCAGGTAGGCTGCTTGAGAGGAAAGAGAGAAAATGGGCTTGGTTTTGGGTGGTGGCATTGTTGGGAAGGCTGCCAATTTTCCTTGGTTTCCTTTCTTTGCCTTTTAGGACAACAACTTGCTGAGCTCACAAGATAAGTCTGAGGATTATGAATTTGGTTTAATTCTCACTGCACTCAGGAATGCTAACATTGGTAGCAGGAGGCGAAAGAGACAACCTTATTTTAGTAGGTTAGTGTCTAGAATAATCTCAGATGGGGGCTTTTTTTAATTTGTATTTAGATAACTTCTGTGTAAACTTTATATTTTTGCCTTTGAAACAGCTGCTTTCCAGAGAAGTGGCTCAAATAGCAGAACTCAGTTCTATTTTTGGTTTTGATTGTGCCTTTGTAACTTTTATTTGGAGTTATTTTATAGAGAGGTAAAAATAGAATACAGATACCTTATATCTAATAAACTTGTGAACCAGATGCCTCTCTTGTCTTTTCTCTCCTGTACTAGGATTGAATTCCTTGCACTACAGCAACCATAAAGTCATTACACTGCATTTAAAATAATGCAGAAAGGGATGACCTTTTGCAAGGACTCTGTATTGTTTGTGTTGCTAAGCCTTATCACCATCTTTCAGCAAAAGTCAATTTAATCCTTAAACATTTGTACCTATAGTATGTGTTCAGAATTGTCTATTGTTAGCTGTGTTCTCACTGATTGTAGTGCTGTGCGTCTCGACAATGCCTGCTATTTGCCCCTTGGATTTTCGTGGCACTGGGTAGCTGTTATCTTCCTTGCTGATAGCATATCACCAATGGTACCCGTTCAGAGCCACACTTCCAGCATAATGGAAAGTTTCACTTTCACCAGGATGACTCACTAATTAATTGACCCCTGGGATGCTGTGCCTTGGATGGAGAGGCTTCCTGTGCCAACTTAAGAAAAAGTAACAGAAAGAGAAATTGATTGGAAGAATTTTATTTGCCTTGTAAGAACTATGTCTTCTAATACTGTCAATCTGCCTGAAACAGGCTTGGTAACTAACTGAAAGATAGATACTTTGGAAAGAGTTGCTTCTCTGATTTAACATCTTCCTTTGCTATAGGAGCAAAAAGACAACTACTGTTAACGTCATGAGAAGGATGAGCTTGTAATAGGAGTGTGTGAAGGCAAGCAGTACAGGAAGCAGTAAATGTCTTTTCCTCCCAGCAGGCTACAAAGTTTTGGCTTTAAATAGGTTACTGTTTAATTGTAGCTACCAAGTGGCCGCTTGGGAGGGAAGAAAGAAAATGGGCTTGGTTTTGGGTGGTGGAAGGGGTCGGGAGGGCTGTTGGGACCAGGAAGAGGCAAGGGGGGGGCCTGCCCTGCAGAACGTTCTTCATGTGCCTGTCAGACATTGCTGAAAGTGGGTGAGTGGCTGCAGTATGGTTTCACTGTCCCAGCCTGGTGTGAATGGAGTGTCTGCAACTCATTACTTCAGCAGATTTCTCCTGTGGACTTCAAGAAATCTTGTGATGTCTTCATAGTGCTGGGAGTGTGATTTACTTTTCATCAAGGAATCTTTGCCAGATCTGTAAGATTAAACTTGGTGTCTTTGTAGCAGACTTGAACCAAGCAGAGTGGTTCTGTACTGGAGATAGATGTGATGGGTGTACATTTATCCAGTGAAGAGCTGTAGCAAGGCCTGGGAGCCACAGGGAAGCTCCAGAATTTGAAATTTAACTCCCAGTAGTTTCTGAGATAGAAGGAGCTTTTGCTGCTGAAATTCTTTTCCCTTTAGGACAATGAGGCAGTAAAAGATTTGGGGAGATGCTTCATTTAAGCTAGAAATGTTGTTTGGACTTCTGGCTAGTGACCTGTTAACATTTGGGCATTTCAGACTTGACAGCTGCTTACTGAAATACCAAAATGCAGATATTTTTAATCTCCAGTGGTGCTGCTTCATTGATTTCCCCTCCAGATGTATACACGTGCAGGGGTGACTTCTGCATTTTTACTCCACTAAGTGTCTGTTCACAGAAAATGTGACCCAATTCTCTCTTTTTGGCTTGTTAGCTCAGTCTGTCGTCTGTGTAGGAGGAAAAATGGGTGCTGAGCTATGCCAGACTTTGTAACCATGCAGAGTAAGTTGGGGGGCATGGTGCAGAAAGGAATATTACTTTGTATAAAAGATGATAGACAACAAAAACATGGGTGATTGTACCCGTGTTTCTTGGAAGGGGAGAAGTGCAACTCAAAGTGAATAGATGAGGGACTGTAGCACCATTAAGGACAAAATTATGTCTTAAAAGTTCCTGTTTGCAGGTGGGGAATAGGACGACACTGACCAGAAGTGCTTCTACTTATTCCAACTCATTATGTGTTAACCTTGATTGACTGTAGTGTTTATTGATTGGTGTGTGACCTTTTGTTGGGCTAAATTTATTTATTTTTCTTCTTTTTTTGTTACTTTTTTATACAAGCTATAAAAGCACAGTAGCATAGGGACAATGCAGGCAACTTTGTACTGGAGACTGCAAGCAAAAAGAAAGGGATGGGAAAGACTAATTTTGTTATGAAAATTAGCATGCTAAGTAAAAATACAGGTTCAAACCATGTGTTTTCTTGGGAAAGTTTATGGTCTGAATTTGACACAGACTATAGCAAGCAACCAGAGAACTGCCATATGGAGGAAGAGCAGCTTTGCATTATTAAGATCATACAGTTAACAGCTTAGCTTCTAAATTTCTTCTGAGCAGTGTCTGCAATTCAGCAGCAGAAAAAGTGTGCTTCATGGGGAGGCTTTAGTGAGAAAAGGATGGTGAAACATTTTTGGGTAGACGTCGCATGCATAAAAGGGGTAAGTTGGAGTAAGCTGCCTGTAGTGGTCAAGAGACATAAATTCAGGTGTAAACAAAACTATTTAGTTTGTTACTCAAAGGTGAAGTGACTGGTGGAACTGACTAAATCAAATACAAAACAAATAACCAATCTAAAGAAGGTTAAAGTATCACTAACCTTTTGAATTTTTTTTTTTAAATAAAAGTTTGGAAATTAATGTAGTTGTCATTTGCAGTTCTTTTCACAGTGTAGAGTAGATGTCAACAATGCTCTAGAATATTGTGCTACACTTTTTTCTGCCCCAGACTAAAGTTTAAGTGTGAAAACAGAAATCATTCAGAATCCAAGCTCTGTTGTTCCTCAAAGCAGCAAGATGCTGTCATGATATTCATGGTGTGTTGCCTCCTGCGTCAGTAGCTAGAAGTGTCTCCTGCAGACTACAGAGATCTCTGGCAACCTGTAGCAGGGAGCTGCTCCCTCTCAGGAGACTTTAGCTGCCAAGTCTCAGCCCTGTTACACGCTATTCAGTCCGTTTACCGACTTTGCCCTACAGGTGTAAGTTGCTGACACCCATTCGAGGGTGACCTGGAAAGTTTTACCAGAACAATTTAGCTATCCATACAGGAGAAGCTAATAAAATGTATATTCTGCTTCAAAATCTCTACAAGGATCCTTCCTGAACTGAGTGCTGTTTTTTCAACATCAACTCTGTGATAAGCAGAGAATTGGCTTTAGTAATGGCAGAAGATAGCGGGCAATAAACAGGGAAATCTAAAGAGGTAAAAGGGGAAAGTAACAGTTACAAAGTTATTGGAGACTGTATGTCCAAAATAAAGCAGGTCCAGTTGCTTTTGTTTTTTTAAAATGAGCCTCCCCTTCACTGCAATAAAGCACAGGATGAACAAAGAGGAGAATATAAAGAGAATGATGGGGGGTGGGGTGGGAAATAAGTGTACAGAAAGTAACCAGTTACTATTGCACAATCCTACTCTTTCTAAGAAGTGTTGTATTTGGTCATGTTTATGGGTCCATTCGAGGAGAAATCCCTAAAATTCTATTTCATTTTAAGGAGCTGGACAAAATGCTGTTGCTGCCGAGTCTCAGCAAGTAAATCATTGGTATTGATATTTTTAATATTTCATGTGGTAACACAATGGTAACATTTTATTAGATAAGTTCCTGTGTCTCTTCATCAGCTCTGCTGTGTTATTTTGTGTAAAACCACAATCTATTTTTTCATTCAGTTGGAACATATATGAACAACTATGTAGAAAATTACAAGTTCTTCTGTGTTCACAGGTTTTGAATGCAGTCTGAGTCCAAGAAGTATGAAGAAGAGATGCCTTCTCTGCACTGGGGGATGGATCCTGTATTTTCTGCATTTGCAAAACTCTATATTAAAGATATAAAAGAAATGAGAGAATCTAAACAAGTGCCAGGTAAGTACTTATATAGGCTGATTATGATGCACACAGAGTTATAATTGATTTATGTTGTGCTTCTTATCCAGGGATTGTAGAATGCTTCACAAACACCAGTAAAGTAATTTTCCATGTCCCTAAGCTAAGAACAACAGGTGGTATGTGAAATATATGGGAAAAATAAAATATGTTAATTCTAGTGGCTTTTCTTCTGCTATATATAGATACAGAGCCTCTTTTACATTAAGGTAATGTGTTTCGTCTATGTGCTAGTGCTTCTTATATTCTGATAAAGTTAATTCTAAAAATGCTAGTCCATTCTGGCCACGTGTGTTATATCTTTCCACTGTCTCTACAACATTTGAGAAGGATTTTATGCCTCTCTGTTGCAAAATTTTGACAGTTGATGACATTGCTGTATGTGTTGTTTTTTTTTTTTCTCTAGATATTAACACTTAATAAAACAGATTTTGAGGTTTTGTCTGCTTAATTTCTAGATATAATAGATATATGACGTTCTTCATACATTTGAACAACCTTTTTGTGAATTCTGGCATCTGTGCTGAATCTTATACCACATCTTTTATTTCCTAACCATTGTTGGAAATTGTCTGCTTTGCATTCTGTTTCCTGCTGGTCTTGAGCCAATATCACTCACATGTGCACATTGTCTAAAGCAACATGGATCTGACCTTGAATGTCTGTTGTTACTACAAAGACTTTAAATAGACTTCAGTATGCTGTCTGTTGTAGAAATGTTCATTACTCCAAACTAAAGCTTGACAAGGTGTGAGATTATCAGGGAGGAACCCAATGAATTTAGAATTAATGACGAAAAGCAGTAAACCTGAAGTAGAGTGTGTATTTTTGGTTCTTGGTGTTTTGTTTGGGTTGTTTTTTTGTGGTTTTGTGTTTAGGTTTTTTTTTTCCTCTCTACAGAGACATCTGTGTGGCTCTTTGAATGTGCTCTGCCTTGTAGGTTTTGTTATTCTTATTTGTTTTTCTTTAACGGCAAGGATAACAGTAGTGCTATTCTTGCAGAAAGGAAGGACTGGTGATTTCTTTGATCTTCTCGCAACAGTTTTTATGTATGTAGAGACTTCACAAACTGCAAAGCCTAGTATATATTCCTCTTGGTTATTTATCATGATGGGACACTTTTTGTCTTAAATCCATTGCAAGAATTTGGCTACAGTCCATTGTTGATGTTTGTACTAAAGTGAGTAGTACTTAGAGGCCTTTTTAAAGTGTGCAGTCTTATGGTAGTACTGGTGTAGCAAACGGTAAAAACTGTTCCTCCTTCAATTAGAGACAGTTTAATTGTCTTTAAACAAAATACAAAACAATTCAGTATCAGCAGAAGAGGATTGTAATTTGGACTTGGACATTAGTGTACACACACATGCAAAAATATACTCAGAAGAATTAAATTTATGAACATCAACAAAAATATTTCATGACAGCAGGAAGAGATCTAGAGAGTACAATCCTGCTCTCTTTTTTTCATCTCTAAATTATCTGAATTTTGCTTCTCGTTTCTCTTCCTGTTCTTTTACTTAAATGAGTTGTTTTTTGCTTTAGGAACTCTTTCAGTTTTGTTATTACTTTTTTCTAAGACGATCCTAAGGAAGTGGTATCTGTTATGTCAAGATATCAACCTTTAAAGTTGGTGCATGCGAGCTTTCTCCACTTCCTGTGCATCTGGCATTTTGCACAACTAAGCTTGCTTGCCATCCTGTATCATTTTCTAAACCAAACTTTAAAGAGTAAAATGAAACTTTATAGAAAAAACATCTTAAATTTTGTTAATTCTTTTGGTGCTTTGTATATACCAAACCAGACATCTTTCAGCATATCTTATTCATTGGCAACGAATAGCACAACAGAAACACTAAAAATATATATTTTGGGGAAGGAAGAAGGTAGGTGTTTGCTGTCAATGTTTCCTGCCTTTAATGGGTTTGTTAAAGACCAGCTGAAGCTAAGTATGTGATTGGCTGTGAATCAGTCATTAAGTAATGGTAATTAAGAATGAATGAGTGCCAAACAAAGACTTGTAACTAGGAGGAGTGGAAAGAAACACAGACTGAATGTCAGGAAAAACATCCTTAGAATGACATCTGCTAAACCATGGAGCAGCCTTCCCAGGAAAAAGGTGGGATGCCCTTCACTGGCATTGTTTATATCTTCACTGTACAGAGTGCCAGGAATTTACTGTATGGAATGGTCTTGCCTTGGCCCTGAGAAAATGGACTGAATGACCTAATAAGTTTTTTCTTTCCATTTTTAAACATTAGGATTTGATGCTACAATGACTAATCCCTTAACACAGAGGAAAGCAGTAACCTGGCCAATTACTTTCCTGCTATAAATGGTGACAAGAAGGCTGGAAAACCTCCCAGATAAAAACAGCAATTGTGTTGTCTTAGAGGCCTTGAAATGAGAGTGGGTGTCAAACGCAGTTGTAACACGTAATCACATCATGGAAATGAGCTTTTCCCAAAGTTATCATGTACCACTGCATTGTGACAGCTTATCAACAAGCAAGGGAAGCTACAAAGAGCATAAAAGGGGATGATAATAATAAAGCAATGGCAAACAGCTCAGTGCTCAGTAATGCTGGTAAACATATGACCAGAACTTCCATTAGAGAACTCTGTATGGCCCCCATACCGCTGCTGTGGCTTCCTGTTGAGGTAACAGCATCTTAATGTATGTGTTATTTACTGGGTTACTAGGAGCTTGACTGAGTGTGCTGGCATATAGCTTCAAATGTTTAGTATATTTTTATTGCTACCAACAGGAACATAATTTGAACAAATAAGATGGCAGGGGGAACAATTTACAGCTTGAAGTCATCAAGTTCAACAACTTTTAATAGTGTAAATATGATTTAATCTTTCAAATGAATTCAGGTAGTTTCTCAGAGACTACAGGTGGAGTTCTATGTGAGTTTATGGGGGTGGAGAGAACCAGTTTCATCTGGTCTCTCTCATTAGCCAAAACTTAGCTCACTAACTGAAATGAACATAATAAAATGTTGCTTGTTTGCACAGGCAAGAACTTGGAGTTTCTGCTCCACAGATTACCCTGAAACTGACCCAGACCTTCTTTTCTATAGATTTTGTAATGTTTAGTGAATAATTGTATGCACTAGGAGCATGTTCATTGAGGGCTTCTGTAGAAGTGTTTATTGGTGTCCTGGTAAATGGAATGAGAGAAAAGTGGACAGACCTGCTAAACATTTTCTCCTCCACGCCTGACCTCAGTGACTACACAATTAGTATAGCCAGCTCTAAGGTGACAGTGATAGATGCAACCTCAACATATTGCAGTGGATTTTTATGAGCACAACTTCTGTTTATGAGCTGCTTGGCTCATCACCTGTGATTTCTTCTGAAACTATTTTTTTGTCTTTCTTATGTGAAGAAAGTTAATTCCAGGCTCATTTAAGGCTGCTAGCTATGTAGGACAAGTTATTTTTGGATTTTGGTTTTGATTTTTTTTTTTTTTTTATGTGGAACATTTTT